AGGGAAAGGAATAACTTCTCTGTTCAATATTTATTTTTCCAATAAGTAGCAGTGAATGATGACATGTACCAGATATGCCATGGATTTTTTTCCAGAATGAAATAAAAAGGCACTCCTACAACAGAAGGAATCAATTTGGAGACAGGAAATCTAAGTACTGACACCGTCAAATACTGGAGAGCACTAAGCAGCAGGAAGCATCTACTCCTTTACTTCTGCCTTCAACTTCCAAAAGAAAACACAAAGCTCCAGTCCAGGAACTCAAGAGAGCACAAGGTAAGGAGAATGCCGAATGCCAAATGCCAAATGACATGAGGATAAACATTTTTGAATCAGCAGTCCAGATACATTACATTTAAAAGTTTGAAAAGACGAGGGAACAATGTGAACTACAGGTTTCGCCCTTAGTAAGTCCTGAGGGCTATGGTTCTCTGGTTCCAGAAAGAACTGAAGTACACAGAATGACTACCAGCTTTATCAAAAAAGGCGGCTGTGATGAGTAATCAGTTGGACCAGGCCTCTATTGTGATGGTAAAGCTGTAAGATAAATGCAAGTCTTTGACATGGGAAGAAACTGCTGAACAGAAAGCTGTATGTGCAGGCACAAGATGATACTACAAGGACACTAGATCCTTAACACTACAGCTAAAACAACATATATCATAGAATCATAGAATGGCCTTGGCTGGAAGGGACCTTAGAGATCACCTAATCCAACCTCACTGTCATGGGCAGGGACGCCCCTCAACTAGATCAGGCTACTCAAGGCTCTGTCCAACCTGGCCTTGTATCAGTAACATCAGAGCCCATGGTGGCTTGTGCCTGATGAGGATATAGTCTATAAAATACAAGTGTGTATATATGTGCCAAACATACAGAGAGTCAGGTCTTCTTCTTTGATCTGTGATATATAAAACAGTTATCCAAGGACCAGTTTGGTGTTATTTTGAACTATCCTTTATGTAACATAGTTAACCATTTAACGTTATTCTAAGCTCTCAATTATGATCCTGCATCCCGTCAACCACAATGCTGAAAGACTGATGAATATAACACAAACAAAACAAAGCATATACATTTTGTAAAACGGAGTACAGAAGTTCTGGAAATATTTAAAATACACAGAACATGTTCAACATGTTATATATACTTTTCCAAATATTCCCCCATGTATTATAAAAAGCCTTTTTCATCTATATCTGGGAAAAAAACCTCCACTGTATTTATTAAATATTATTAACTTTTCACCTGAATTCTTGGATGTTTTCTGTTCCAATGCTTGACTGAATTGCAATTCACTAGAAGAAAGCTTGTTTCTGCTGCTACTGGAATAGGAGGCTGCCATTTGGCTTATCTCCTGGGGGTCTAATCTTACTCTTTTAGTTTGGACATCTTCTGTTTCAGTAAACTGTGAAAGCACATTCGCCTTTGCATTTTCCTCTTGTCTATGCTTTTCAGCACCTCCTGTTCCACTTACTCCAGCAATCATTCCTTCATCTGTCGGTTTAACAAAAGAACTTAAGAATATCTATGGCATAATAGTAATTTCAGAAATCACAGCTGGTATTAAAATGAATGTCAAAATTGCCATCTAGTCTAGGTTTAAAAATGCCTGCAGTAACTCACTTTTTGAAAATACTTCAACATTAGAAATCCATTACCCACTACTCACTGGATGCTAATGTACTGAGATGAATCCAAAACAGTTCAGGGATTCTTTTTTGAAAATACAACTTTTATTGATTCTTAGGTATTTTAAAAAAAATACTTAAGAATTTCATTCTAATTATTGTAATGACCATTGCAGTCACACTTCAGTAAAAATAGTGGGGACTTGGGTATAAAACAGCCCCCAAGAATACAAAGCAAAAACGACTAACTACTTAATCTAGCATAGTGGACTGTACCACAACACACTCCATACATGATCTATTTATTCATGACAAAAGTATTCTCTGGAGACCAACAGCTGTCTTTTTTTAGTAAAATACACTGAATGCTTGCAATAAAATAATCATTTTGAACAGAACATGGGACTTGTTTTCTGGGAGATTTCTTTCTGCATTACTTTCTATAATCTGAAATGAATAAGGAGACTTGCTGTCTGCATTAACACAAAAATGCAAATCTGCTTTTGAGTTCATTTCCTGAAGATTCACTCTCTTTCCTATCATTTAAAGTGTGTCCTTCCAATGGAGCTGTAAAGCTATAGGCTCCATCTCTAAAATACTTCAACATTTCTTTCTGCATTAAGCAGGATCCTCCCTTCTTTCTCTGGCTGTGGAGCCTTTTGTTCAGTGGTGCTTAATACACCACTTGCAGAACTGTAAGGACTTCCAAAAACATTTTATCTGTCGGTAGCTGCTAAAAGCTCATGCGCTAACAGTGCTTCTGCATTTGCTTGAAGTGCAGCTGGCTCCATCTTCAGATATATTAGTATATATATTTTGCACTTCATTTACAATAGTCTGTTGCAATATCATTTTTTTGAGACCATGGTGCCCAGTGACACTTTCAAGTTCATCTCAAAAAAGTATTCAGAAAAGGCGGTCCACACAATCTAGCAGCTGACAATTCAACATCATCCATAACCTTTCCCTTAACTGTCATGCATAATAGGCTTGTATTCATTTCCACACAGCACTATAAACATCTCATTCAAAAGCTCTCTAAAAATCTTATAATTAGTGCCATGCATGCTTTGTAATGGGCATGTGTGGTATCCCTTCCAAGAGGGCCACTTAGTCTTAACCTCAAGGAAATTATCACTGTTGTCCTGGAGATCTTCAGTAGGAAAGCACTAACTCTGAAATGGAATTGAATTAATTACTTGGTTGCCAGGACCATACACAGCCAGTATGTGGTCTGTTTTTCACACGAAGGCACTGCAGACAGAATCATCCTAAGAAAGCTTGTGTGGTCTGAGCAACCTGAAGGGAACTAAAATAAAGCAGACAACTAAAAATTAACCTTAAGAGATACCAGTCTCACTAATGAAGGGTATCCCTGGAAGCATAAGTCAGCTGGTAAAACTTCTTAAGTGGTTACAAAGATTTATCTGACTTGTAACTTAAACGCTGAAATCTGCAATGCAGGAAGGCTCATAGTCAATTCTGAACAAGTTTATGTCCTGGTTTTAGCTAAAAATGCCAATTCTGTTCAGTGATTTTTAGTTTCCAGTTTAGTCTCTTCTAAAAGGCTGCACTTTCTGAAGTCAGCAGCATGTTTTCGCAGACAGTGTGTGCTACTGGCAGTGATAACACCTGATGGTTACAGTTACTGTCTGGGACTGGGATGCAGAAAGGCTCTTGCTGATACTTATTCCTACAGTGACCAAGGCCACTGCTGGCTCTTGTGTGCCACGCTGGGGGTTCCGGGTAGTGAGAGGGGTCACAAGGAAGTAAAAGATTGCATCTCTGGGGGGTAATAGACAGGACAGGTGACCAACAAGAGTATTCCATTCCATTCTATATACATCATATTTAGTATAAATTGAGTGATCATGAGAGTTTCGGCCCTTTTCTGCAATGGCCGGTGTCCAGAGAGGACTCCATCTGGCCTCCCGCTTTTGATCTGGATCCTGAGTTCCCGAATCCAGCTCCCTGTATCCAGCTCCCACCACCACTGAGCCTGGCTTCCCCAGTGCCACCCGCTCCGCAGCATCAGTGGGGATTGCTATTGAGGGAGGGAGTTAGGTTCGATATCAGGCTAATATATATAGTTGTATATAGTTCTTTATCACTTCACTATTATTTTCCATTATTTCCTTAAAGCTGTTCTAGTTTTTCTTTTCTAACCTGTAAGTCTCTCTGCCTCGTTCCCTTTTCTTTCTCGTCTAGCGGGGGGAAGAGGTGGTTAGAGAGCGTTTGCCTGCGTTTAGTGGCCAGCCCAGCCCTAACCCGCGACAGTTTAGTACAAAACATGTAAGTGTATTGACCCAAGGAGGTGTATAGGAATATACTGTAAGTGATCTTCCTGTGTAGTTGAATTCCAAAGAAGTTCACTCACACTAGAAATGGTAGACCCTTAAATTCATTCTTTGGTAATGTTGTTAAACTGGACAATCTGTAGTGCGGAGGGTGTTGGCCTCTTCTCACAAGTTGCTATCAATGGAACGAGAGGAAATGGCTTCCAGTTGTGTCAGAGGAGGTTTAGACTGGATATTAGGAAAAATTTCTTTACTGAGAGTGGTGAGGTGTTAGAATAGGCTGCCCAGGGAAGCGGTGGAGTCACGACTCCCTGGAGGTGTCAAAAAAATTTGTAGATGTGGCACACTGGGACATGGTTTAGTGGTCATAGTGGTGTTGAGTTGATGTCTGGACTTGATGACCTTAAAGGTCTTTTTCCAACCTTAACGATTCTATTATTCTATATCTGTGCTACCTGAATCCATAAGATTTGCACACGCTGGTTCTGACTCATCTGGCTGTAAGGAAACCTGTTCAAACACAAAGAGACTTTCAACCTTAGAGCCGATCCATTAATTTTGCTTCCATCAACATCAGATTTAATTTGATTTATCAAGCTTTGTAAAGAAATAATTAATTCTGAAAGTATTCTCATATCATTATTTAGATTCTTGTCACTCAAACTACTACTGTTACTCTGCTTGAGACTATGTTGATCACTGTCGTAACTCATTAATTCCTGTTGTAGCTTTAAAACAGGTAACACTTTGAGATGAAGTCAAAGCAAGTAAGTATTGACTGAGAATCACGTTCTGCTAAATAAGTAGTCTAAGAATGCTGTGCAAACACTTTTTCTCCAGAAACCACTGATGTGAGGCAATGCAAACTGGAAATCTCCTTTGCTGTTACAAGAGAAAGCCTGCTGAGCTTTTCTTCTGTAAATAGATTTTCAGTGTTACCACTGCTGAATTCACGTTCCTGTCACAATTCTGTCTGACTTAGCTCAGTTTTCCTACTACATTCACTGGGATGCAACAACTATGATGAGAAACAGCAACACTGTGGGTCACTTCACTAGGTCCAGCATCATGGAAATACATTTCCTGTAATGTAATAGTTCCTTAGTTTGTAAATGGACCTAAACATGAGGTCCACCTAACATCAGACATAATTTCTGAAGAGTTTTGTAGCCTCTGCTATAAGAATAATATATCTACTTGCTTTCTTTGAACTTTTTTGTTTTGTGTTGTGTTTTTTTAAATTTGATTTTCTACCTTCAGAATCTGTAAGAAGTTTATTTTCCATGTACTTCATCAAATTTGTTTTTCTGTTTCGCTCATTTTTTAGCAAAACTTCCTTTACTTTAGTATTATGTAGTTGAACTGTGCCATCTACATATAATTCTGACTACAAACAGGCCATATACTTAATTTCATCTTCTGATAAACTGCTTTAACATACACTAAAAGAAAATTGCTATTATACAAATAACTGATTTCCCCTACCTATGCAGCTTTTAAAGAAAGCAGGACAAAGAAATTAAGAAACTAGGAAATGTGTATGAAAGTGCAAAAATTAATGGTGAAATCCAATGACAAATATTACTGAAGTGCTTTACACTTCTATTTATTTCTGAAACTTGAACTCACTTTGAATTAATGTTCTGCCTCTAAAGAATTAAAACTACTTTGCTTCTGTGGTCATGTACAAGAGCTATATTTTCATTTTTCTGGCAAATCTGTCTGCAGTGATTCTAGGAAATTATAAAGCGGGGGAAATAATGCAGAAAAACCACACAGCATGAACTAATGACAATTGCAGAAGGAAACTGCTCCAAATGCCAACGACTAAATAGAATTATCATGTTGATTACTTTGTATCTGGAAACAGAACATGAACACTGTAACAACTCACACAACTTCTGAAATCACCAGTTACACAGTCACAGTAATAGGTTTTCCCAATTAAATGTTTACATCATCTTCTACTTGCATAATATTTTTCATCGATCAGCTAAGGTTTTAAAGTGTAATCTAAGACTATATACCGTGGGTGCTGTTACAGCATATTTCTAAGGACGTCATGGACTGCACTACTATGAGTAACAAGGATGGTCATCATAAACACATAAAACTTTAGGAAGCAAGAATGAAGTGTCTGTGCACGCTGCAGTACATGTTTCAGATATCATCAGTTATCATTGTTCAAGGGGGAGAAAACAAGAGGAGAAGATTACAGCTTTTAATGGCAAAAGCTGTTGTGCTATATGCAAATAAACTATGACACAAGTGACTGATCATGGTGTCTTGTATTCACATGAGGCCCTAGCTCTTGCATCTTACTGAGGTCTCACAGCATAACTGCAACTTCTGTGCAAGACAGCAGCTCCCTAGACCTCTCCTATCAAAACCCAACACAACCTACTTCACAGAGTTAAGTAGCTATCCTACTGCTACAAGCCAGGCAACAGCTTGCAGTATTCATCAGGTTTCTGCAAGTATAAAGAGGCACTGATGCTTGCTGTGAATTACCCTTGCAGCACTTGCAAAAACTTAGCACTGTCCTTGAGAGGCAGCTGACTGCCTCTGTCTTGCATTTTCACGAGGCTGCAGCCTATCCTAAGTAATGGTAAGGATCAGCAACTACTTGCCAAAGAACTGGCATAACACTGATTGTAACTCTGTTTCACTCTGTTCCTGCTGGGTATGAAGCACCTACTACATCATGTGCTAGTTTTGAAATACGTTTCAGAAATCATCTGCTTTACTGAAGTCTGCAAGCAAGACCTTAACATTTCAGCATCAAATTAACACAAAGAATCTTTGTGAAGATGTACCTGCTGTAAGTTTGTGTGTTCTACACTTGGAGTATTTAACATCTTCTTTGAATCATCTCCACCTGAAATGAAAATGCAAGGCTGAAAGAACCCAGAATTGATGAGACTGTAATTCTTTACGCATACACTATCTCCTGTTTACAGTCTTGTGTGAAACGGTACTTATCACATTTAGCTCTTCAGAAAAATTATCAAGCCTGAAGGGTTTTATTAGAATCTAAAACATATCAATATATAAAATCTATATTAAAAACTTGATGTCTGATCTTTGTTGCAGATGGCATCTTGTACAAACCAGGACAGGCAAGAGTAAAGTACGAGGACCCAAGCAATTCTTTTTGAAACTTAGAGGAGCTACAGTTCCCTAACTTCTAGTAGACTTCCCTGATCCCCAAGAGGCTTTGAAGCCAGTGATGGTGGGATGATAACCCAGCTTACAACACTCCCTGTATAGTATATTTTGGCAGGGAGAGGGATGGAGTAGCAAAAGCCAAGTCATGGGTGTAAAAATAGGCAGTAATATTCCCCAGGACCAATTCAGTGCCTTGCTAGTGGTTTGCTTTAGCTTTTCCACTACCCTTTGTGCTGATGAAATGGCATAAAAAGAGCAAAGCAGCTATCAAGCTCTTACCCTATATATTAACATGCTTACTCAATCCATCCAACTGTATGAATTCACTTCTGGCCAGTAGGTTCTTAAACCTAGACCAGCCACAACATATTGAAAACCATCTGTCTTACCACCTTTTGTTATTTGGTACTACAATATGAACTGCAACCCTAGCTCTAAGCCTAAAATTTAACAGGCATATCACAACATGACAATCCTTATTACATCACTTCATGAAATCTGGCTGGCCAGATGTTAATCCTGGCCTTAGGATCACTGTTAGTCCACTGGATCCTGCCAGTCTCAGTCCTAAATTAAGTACAATGGCCCAGCTGTTGAATACTGATTAAGTCAAAGCCTAACTCAAACCACAATTTTAAACATATTTTTAGCCTGTTGCCTTCTTTGTAACACTTCTCCAGGCTCAACAACCCCAACACTCTCACCCTGTCCTTAGAGGAGATGGGCTCCATCCATTTCACTCTTTTAGTGGCCCTCCTCTGGACCTGCTCCAATAGGTCGGTGTCTCGTACTGAGAGCTCCAGAGCTGAAGAGCCATGGAGCTGAACACAGTACTCCAGGTGGCGTCCCACCGGAGTGGAATAAAGGAGCAGTTCTGACATTCCTGGCAATCCCTCTGCTCCTCCGTCCCCATCAGCATGAGCTAAATGCCTATAGCCATTGACAGTTGCATTCCAGTCATGGGATTCGTCCCACCAAGTATCAGTAATGGCAAATACTTTGTAGTTTTCTAGGAGCATGGTGGCTTCCAACCCCTCCTGTTTGTTGCCCATGCTACACGCATTGGTGTAAAGGCACTTCAGCTGGGCTGTCAGCCACATCAGCGTTTTAGTGGAACACAGCTAAACTCCTCTGAGCTTTTTCCCGGGTGTTCCCCTGTTGGGTTTTATTACTTCAGGAGCCCCTGGCTCATCTCCGTAAGATTCCAAGTGTGCTCCAGTGTACCCAGCACAGGCTGAAGGCCCTTGCTAGTATTTCATCCCTCTAATCTTGGTATGTTATCCCACAGCTTGTCACAGGCAAGCCTAGTATTATCCACCTCTCCCATCAAGTCTAGTTTAAAGTTCTGTCAACAAGCGCTGCTACGTCCTGAGCCAAGACCCTCTTTCCCCTTTGAAAAAGGTAATTCCCATCCAACACATGCAGGTCTGGTGCCATATAGACCATCCTATTATCAAAAAACTGAACTGTAGGTGATCCTGCTCTGGCAGGGGCGCTGGACTAGATGATCTTTTCAGTTCCCTTCCAACCCCTAACATTCTGTGATTCTGTGTGATTCTGTGTAGGGGTGACACCAGCCACGGAGTCGTGTAATAATAGACTGGGTCCATTTGTTTCTTATGCAACTGGAAAGTTAGAGGAAAAAAACACCTGTGTGCCAGACTTCCTTACCAACTGTTCCAAGACCCTGAGTCTCTTTTGATTGCCCTTGGACTACTGATTGTGGTTTCATCATCACTCACATGGAAAAGGATAAATGGTAATAGTCTGAGGGCTGAGGACTCCTTCCAGACTTAAACATGCCACAGCCCACACTGGCCCACCGGTGTCCAGTAGTCCTAATTCCAACTCTAATCAAGGCTTATCTTGTGGCACTTCTTTGTACTTGCCCTTGACCAAGCAGCCTCTTCCAAACCTTCTTAACTTAATTCCTATGACTGTACAAAATCCCACTCTTGCCTTAGCCAAAATGGCCAACTTCCAACCCACTGCAAACTCACTAGCTATTACCTACAGTAATACTACCCCAGCGTTAACTAGCAGTTAAGGATAAGCAGCCCCCAATATCTAGACCTAATCCCAGATACTCCATTTTTTTATCTTACAGATCCTTCAAAATTCAGCTTCCACGCCAGCTTAGAAGCAAATTTTATACTGAGTTCTAAACCATACCTCAATCATCAGCAAATTCAGCCACACCTCATCTTGCATTTACATAGGTGACAACTACTGTGCTTCACATTTTCATTCCAAATTTAAAGGCAGCTCCAGCACAAGAAAAAGATGGACACCGCTGTATTTTTTACTCTCCCAACTGTGCTGGATAAGGAGGGCTCACTGGTACTAAGGCAGTATTAATTACTAGCAGTAACTAAGGAAATACAACAGATGTTATGAATTTCTCCATTTAGTGGTGACCATATGTCTGAATAATTCTCTCCTACCTGATCCTTGACGTCTTCTGGTTTTTTTTACATAGCTTTGAAGCAGTTTCCTCATAGATCGGTCAGAAGCTTCTTCTAATGCACACCTTCCCGTCTCATTTTTTAAGAAGGGATCAGCTCCATACCAAAGTAATAACTCTGCCATCTGGAAAAATAAGTTTTTCAGATTGTTTCTTTCCTGACAGTATTTTTCATACTCCTTCCTTATACAGGCATCTCTCTCTTTTACTTGACAACATGAGCAACTAAAACCAAACCTAAGGATTATGACAGATAATCATTCTCTAGCATTCCCCTAGATGCATAATTAATCTAAACTCTTATTACTTCATTTTTATAAGTTCGTTCAAGCTATTAACCTGATGCCATTAACCAAACGTCTCCAAAATATACAGTAGGATTCATCCCCCTCATAGCTCTTAACCAATGGAAAATAACAGGTGATTTTAGAGTACGGGTCAGCTCAACTATTTAGGACATGTACTTCAGGAGAAAACAAACTGTGCTCTGGGTGTGTCTGTTGTGACTCCTGTGGCTGCAAAAGGAAGCTTTGACAGCGGTTTCAGATGCACAACACACATCCAGTCAAATGGATGTATTTTGTACATATTCAGTTGTATTACCAATATTATGATTTCTGTACAAATATAAAGCCAGATTCTGCTGTTACTCAAGTAATTACCACTTCAGCAAAATCTACCCTTGCAGAATACTTTTTTAAAACATGGGAAATTTACAATCTGATTATTTCCTTTCTGTGGGCAACCTTGCAATCCTAGACCAGCACCAGTGTAGTTTTACTTGTACCTCTGCCTTTCTCTCTTCAGCATCTCTACTCATTTCAGACTGAGATTGACTCACAGCCTTCAACCAGGCATTTAAAGTCCCTCATTATTTCTAACAAGATTGTTACCGAGAAAACTGGTAGTGAAGTTTTCTCAATTCATGCATTCTCCTAACAACAGAGCAAATAAAGAAGGGTTCAATCCACAGCGGAAACCCTCTTAGGCCCCACAAGTTGTCCTAAATCTATATATTTTTTCAGCAAGTAATGTTAAGAAATCCTTTACCTTAATGAGATCGTAGAATCATAGAACCATAGAATGCCTGAGGTTGGAAGGGACCTTAGAGATCATCTAATCCAATCTCCCTGCTATGGGCAGGGATGCCCTTAATTAGACCAGGTTGCTCAAGGCCTCATCCAACCTGGCCTTGAACATCTCCAGGGAGGGAGCATCCACAACCTCTCTTGGCAATCCATTCCAGAATCTTGCCACCCTCATACTAAAGAATTTCCTCCTAAAATCTTTAGCTACACATCACACTTTCATGTTCTCCTCCTTATCTGTACAACTAGAAAGTCTTTCATATACTTTTCTGAAATAAGAAATTATTTTTGCAATATTGCAGGTGCAGAAAGGGATGAAGCAGCCAAAAGGCATGCTTCCAACCTACAAGAACTTCATACAGAGAAGGCAGCTTTGAAAGAAACAGCTCCAAATACCATGTTATCAAAAGTTCTATTACTGAATCACTACCACTATTTTGTGGCTAGTCAGAAGCAACAAAAATTAAGTCTGACAGACTACCGCAGTGATAACACTGTACTTCTCCTGAGCACAGTGCCACCATGTACTAATATTCCATGTGGATATATCAGCTCACATATTCTAACACAGCTCTGTGTTGAATGATGTTGGTGTCCCCAAGTGACCTAGCTGAGATCAGCAGTCTCCCAATATTCAAGCTGCTGACCTCTAAACACAACTTGCAGAGATGTAGAGTCCTTCATGCATAATCATGGACATAGTATCTTGGGAACTTCCATAGAACTCAGAAATATTTCATGAACCTAACAGAGTCTGAAATACACAAGCTGAAAAACAAGCTTGAGGCTCTCAACTCTCGCTGAAAAACAAGCTTGAGGCTCTCAACTCTCACAGAAAATCATCAACCAAAAGTCCACCCTTATTCTTTTCTCCAGAGAGACCTGGGGAGAAACAGGTTAAGTCTTATCTCAGTTGCGAAACAGAGAGAGAGTAAATGTTTATGGACAAAACTTAATAGACCCCACAAAAAAACCCCCAAACTTGGAAATTAGTATTAGGCAGCATACGTGCACTCCTACAGAAAGAAAGAGCAAGGAGGTAAACGGGACATGCAGAACTCCTACATAAATCCACACCACTCTAGTAACATGCACAAGCAGGTAGGTGGAGGTAACTACTGCCAGATGGAAAGAGGATCTCAGAATTCGGAGTTGGAAGGGACTTGCAGAGATCATCTAGACCAACCTCCCCTGCTAAAGCAGGATCACCTAGAGAACATTACACAGGATTGCATTCAGGCACATTCTGGAAGTCTCTAGAGGAAGAGACTCCACAACCTCCCTTGGGCATCCTATTCCACTGCTCTGTCACCCTCACAGTAAAGAAGATTTTCCTCATATTTAGATGAAAATTCCTGTGTTACAGCTTGTGCCCATTGCCCCTTGTCCTGTCACTGGGCATTACTGAAAAGGGCACTGCTCTACCCTCCCTGCACCCACCCTTTAGACATTTACAGACGTTTATAAGGTCTCCTCTCAGCCTTCTCCTCTCCAGGCTAAATAATGCCAGCTCTCTAAACCTTTCCCTGCAAGAGATGTCCACAGTTCTGACACAGGCTTATGAAACCTCAGCATCTGTCAGCAAAACTTTTAAATAATTGACACTGACTTTCTGTTTAAGTGCATATAAAATATAAACTCATGCCTTCATAACTCTCCACACACGTGTTAATACACAAAAAATGGCTGTACAGGGTATGGATGCACACCATATATGCGTATTCACTAAATCATGGAAAAAAGTCATTGAAACTCCAGAAGACAAGTAGTACTGAACTGTAGCCACGAGGATGATCAGAGGGCTCGAGCACCTCTCCTATGAAGACAGACTGAGAGAGCTGGGGTTGTTCAGCCTGCAGAAAAGAAGGCTCCGACCTTATTGTGGCTTCCAGTATCTCAAGGGGGCTACAAGAAAGGTGATGAGGAACTTTTTAGGATGTTGGGTAGGGACAGGACTAGAGGGAATGGATTGAAGCTGGAGATGGATCGGTTCAGATTGGACGTTAGGAAGAAGTTCTTCCCCATGAGGGTGGTGAGACACTGGCACAGGTTGCCCAGAGAGGGGGTGGAAGCCCCATTCCTGGAAGTGTTTAAGCCAGGCTGGATGGGGCTCTGGGCAACCTGGTCTAGCGGGGAGATGTCCCGGTCCATGGTGGGGAGGTTGGAACTAGATGATCTTTAAGGTCCCTTCCAACTCTGACAATTCTATGATTCTATTTGTCAGTACTTCAGCCATTGTCTCAAATAGTTAGAAAAACAATTATTTTCTGCTTTTGGACAAATCATGCTAAAGCACTGAATGGTTTGAACAGAAATTGGGCACAGCAGACTTGCAAACTCCTGAATTTACTCATAATATGAAAAGCCCAGTCACACGTAAAAAGATTATGTGACGTTCTGGGCCCAACAACAATCATTTCTATTCCTAAACCATAATTTGTGTTCAATTTGAAATATACCTCACAATTGCCATCTTTAACTGCATCTTGCAATGGTGTTATTTGCTCTCCCCCTCTAGCATTAACATCAGCTCCTGCCTTCAAAAGCTCAGCTGCTATCTCATAAAAGCCTTCCACAGTTGCTGTATGTAGAGCAGTCCAGCCTAGAAGAAAGGAAAACCTCTATTTCACATTTTGGTGAAATAATTTATAAAAAACTACGTTAGTTTTATGTTGTCTATTTGATAAATATTTCAGAGAGTGTATTGAAAAGGTAAAAACTGATGCATTTAGCGGTAAGTTGTATAAAGAAATACTTAGAAAAGTCACAAGAGTTGGGAGATGTCATTCTTTTGTCCAAATTTGCACTTACTAAAGAACCAGGTATGGGTGTAACAATATTAGATTTGCTTCTTCTGTTACGAAAGCACAGAGAAAGAATAAAAACTATTCTACCCACAACTTCATGATTTCTCCCTGAATAAAACATATATGCTATTTAAGAATGAGATAATTTTTCATGGCACTCTTATTTACATAATGATGCAGAAGACGGTAAGAATGAAAGAACAGAATGAGATAATTTTTCATGGCACTCTTATTAACATAATGATGCAGAAGACGGTAAGCATGAAAGAAAAGTCAAATTACAGAGGTGGAGCCTTTACTGCCAAAAAAAAATACTTTTTATGTCTATCCAAGAATAGTTGGAGTGTCCAAAGAAAGCAATAAAAAATCCTTACTGAAATTCTGTATCTGTTCTCAGCTATGTGGAATAAACTAACTCTATCAAGTCGAGAGAGTTGGGGTTGTTCAGCCTGAAGCAGAGAAGGCTCTGGGGAGATTTACAGCAACCTTCCAATACCTGAGGGGGCCTACAGGAAAGCTGGAGAGGGACTGTTTATCTGGGAATGTAGTGATAGGACAAGGGATAATGGTTTTAAACTGAAAGAGGACAGATGTAGCTTAGATATTAGGAAGACATTCGTTACTGTGAAGGTGGCAAGACACTGGAACAGGTTGCCCAGAGAACCTGTGGATGCTTCACCCCTGGAAGTGTTCAAGGCCAGGTTGGACAGGGCTTTGAGCAACCTGGTTTAGTGGGAGGTGTATATTTGTATAGGTTTGGGTTTATTACGGGTACAGGATGTTGCACCAGATTGTCCAAAAATGTTGTACTATGAGGCTTTGTTCCCAAATGTTTGAAACTCACCTAAGTTTTAACTACACTGTCAACTAATGTTGACAGTGCTTCAAGACAAATGTTTTTTTAACAGTACTATCTGTAAAACATTTTACTTGTCTTTTATAGAGCCTATTTATTCCTCCCTCAGTAAAAAGTATCCTCTACCTGATATACGAATAAGCACCTGAAAAAAATGGATCTGCAATGTGTTCAGCTGATAATCTTTAGAGTTTAGCAACATGATTCTTCAAGGACACTGTGCATGCTCTGGAGAAAGTAGAAACATCAGTTTCATTGCAACAGTTTTTCAGCACCCTGAAGGCACTGTGGATCAAAACTCAAACTGAGAGCACAGACAGTATCTCTGCCACACTGTCCATATCCTATGTGCTGATGTCCAGCAAACAAAAAGGAGCAAGAAAAGAAACACAAAAAACCCTCAAGAACTCAGTAAGGTACTGAAGCACAGTACTGTAGCACAGGACGGCTAAGATATGGGTTATCCCTGGTAGAGGGCTTTAAAGGAAGAAAAAAGTGGCAAAGGCAGAATGTAATAATGAGAACAATGATTCCCAGGGAGAGCGAGATCCAAGTGCATTTCAAAATGGCACTGGTTTGTCTACGTCTTTCCGATAACACCTCCCTCACTAAAAAAAAAAAAGAGTAGGGCTAGGTCAGCTCATCTCTTCAAGGAGTTCAACTAAACTACATTTTCTGCAGTTGTGTTCCTTTTTCATCAAAAAAACCCAGCCAGAGTCTGAGGGAGGAAGAAATAGTCTCACAAAATGTGTGAAGGCAGAAAAAGGAAGCAGCTGCATGGCAAAAAATGGAACCAGGACACTTGCACTTTAGTACACTTGCCCTTTAGTACACTTGCCCACAGAGGCTGCAGCTGAATGCACACTATCAACACTTCTCTGTTGTCAGCAAGTGGCTTTGAAACTCACCAACAAAATATTTTCTCACCTACCCCTAGCACAAGTTAACACACACTACAGCTGACACAGCTGTCACTCTGTCAGCTCAAATGCCAGAGTCTCACACTATGAAAGACTAAAATTTGCTGCTGTCACTCAGTAAGTTCCAGCAGCTAGAGAATTTCTACCCTAATTTTGGTTTGTTATATGCCTGCATTATGCAATAGCCTTTAACTGCAGAATGCAGTATTTTTTCCCCCCACAAAACTGTTGTGCAATCCCAGCCACTGCACAGGACGGAAGCACTCCAAGAATCAAAGTTTTCTACCAAATGAGCCAGCTGTCTGCAAAACCAGTTTCTCTTTTGCTGTGGAAGTTTTATCAGAGTCTAATGGATAAGACAGGAACTGCAAAATAAGGAACAAGAGTCTTACATTTGAAAAAACAGATACTTTAGGGTGTGGCAACACACACACAGAAGTTGGATAAGGTGAATTGCTTCAATCAAAACATTCACAGCTGGCCATTATTTTGGTGCCCAAGATGAAGTAAAAATGCATAATACCAAGTACTCACAATTTTACAAAACCAAAGCAGTGCTAAATTATGAACTTACAACTTCCTTTAAGATTCAAGTGGAAAAATCAGAGTCCCTGAAAAATTAAACTGAAAAATCTAAAACTTGGCATCTCAGATTGGTCACTGAAATGGATCAAAAGAAAATCTTTAAATGATTTTTTAACTAAGGGACTGTTTTGGGATAAGCACGCATGGGATTGTTAAACTAAGGTTAAGTAAACTTAATTGCACCACATAATAATGTTTTAAGTGCTTACTTTTTCCAAAAAATGTTTTTTAAATATAATTTTATACATAGGTTTATAATATTTTCTTATGAACAATTACCAAGTTAAACAAATAAAAATGTAATAATCTAATATACATCTAAAAACATAGTAAGTCACTAACCTAAGTCTTGTCCACGGCACAAACTCGTAATATGTACTTTTATTAGTCACAGGTAGACATTTGTTTTGAAAGTAGTATTTTAATACAATTGCAACTTACCAGCATAATCCTGGGCATTTACATTTCCACCAGCTTTTATTACATTACGTACAAGGTCCAGGCATTGATTAGCAACAGCTCTATGGAGTAAGGTCTCACCGTAACTATTCCTCCTATTGATTGTTGAAAGTGAAATGGGGCAAATAGAATTTAAAAAATTCCTACCAAACGCTTTTTGTCCTGAAAAATAATATAAAAGATCTGTTGAACAGGAAAAAAAAGTATTTTATCTCTTATTTTGGCTTACTTTGCATTACAGTTAGTAAATAAGGTTTCTGGAGAAAAATATGCTCAGTCAAACTAGTAGAAACTAGTACCTCAAGAAATACATTACCAATTAAATAATAACACTATTCAATAAAAAAGGCCACAGTGAATTTCATAACAAAACTCTAACTTAAATTTAACACACAAGAATACGGCTTTGCAAATGTGTGATAAGTCTAGGCTTTCCCTTCTAAATGACATTTTTGCAAAGTGCATTTTTTCCCACTGGATGAAAAAATTGCTATTCCAGATTACAATGCATTACAAAATGAGTATTTCAATAGCTAGTCAGTTATTCAATAATTTCTTCTTTCTTAAAACTCAAGTTTATCAGCAGTTCTTCTGTACTCACTTATGTTTTAAAACTGCCGTTTCCTGAGCAAGGAATATTTATACTAAGGTAGTGATTGAGATTAGCACCCTCAGATTACTATTCCCTGTCACTTCACGAGCTCAGCCATTTTTGCAATAAACAAAAGATGAATAGCTGCTTGGGAATATGATGCCTAAATGTAAAAAATAAAATATTAAAAGACACTATTTTTAATTTTTAGATTAGTATTTTAGTGGATGAGGGAAAGGCTGTGGATGTAGTCTACCTGGACTTTAGTAAAGCCTTTGTGCACGGTGATATACTGTGAGCTCAGACTAATTCCCAATCTTCTTAAATTCTCAGCTCTGTGTAGATTTTTAGAATCTAACAGATACAGGTTTACCAAGGGCCTTCCCTCAGCTCAGTACATGAACGACCTCTCTCCTCTACCTGTCCAGCCCTGCAATACCTTAATCATTTAAGGTACTGTAGTGCCTCAACAAAGCTGGTCTATTGCAGCCAAGCAGTTCAGGAGCGATTAAATTGCACAGACATACACAGAACGAGGTGCAACTTCATGTTACTTAACCCAATTTATCTTGTTACTTCAAGAGGACCTAATTCCTGCCACTTCCACCTTGCCCTCCCTAGTGCCTTCCTTGTGTCTGACCCTGTGCAAAACGAAGGCCCAAATCAAAATTTTCCATGAGGCTGTTTTTTCCAGTGAATTACCAAACTAAGACAACTCACAGACTCTTGGTCTGACGCAAAAGGGAGGAAAATTTGCTATATTGGACTATGAGGAAGCCACCTCTAACTCTTTCTGTAGAAATCATGCTTAAAAAACAACAGCTTGTTTCTTCAGCAAGCCAATTTGAAATAGATGAGCAGTTAGTCGTATAACTTTAAATCTCATTAAATGGTGCTTTCAGTGGCAATAATTAAAACCTTGCAAAAGACAATGTTTGTTAATTGGAAGTAGAATTACTCCTATTTTGTACAATCTATAGTGTAGCTGTTACAGTTCAAATACTTCCAAACTTTGTAAGGTGTTTAAACGATTGTAGTGCACAGATAAATCCAGACTGAGTGGGCTTAGAAAAAAATACACGGCATTTTAAGACCCTAATCTTAAAGGTGCTGGGGTGAGTGCTTAAGTGAGAAAATTCCACATTCTCCTACACACTTCCTCTGCAAGGTAAAAAAATTCACTGCATGCATCTTCAGAGGATGAAAAACGGTAATCTTTCTCTCTGACAAAACACGCTGTAAAGAAAAATACTTCAAAGAGTACTCCGTGACTGTGGTAGTGAAGGCCCTGTAATACCACATTAAAAACAGGATAACAACAGCAGACATTCAAAATATGTTTGTATAGCTCAATTCCTGAATACTATATTACAGAAGGATATATAAATGTATATCAAGATCTACATTTTCACTCTGCATGAAAACATTTTTCTTCTGCATTTCAGAATACATTTTTTTACACATAACACTATGATAAAAATTGCATCCTGAAAAAATTCTCATGATTCTTAAGGAGCTCATGGAAACAAGTACACTGTTAGGTTGCTAATATGTAGATTTAAACAAACAAGGGAAATTTATCTATAATTTTAATTATTAAAATGAATGCCTATACCATCTTTGAAAAAGAAATTGATGCCACAATATATTGGAAAGGTTATCAATTATATTTCATCCAGTATAACTGTTCAACTAAAAGAATGTATATGATAAACATCAGATAAGATCTTACTCAGTTTGTTTTCAATTCTCTTGCTCCTTCTCTGCTTAGGTTCTCCATCTTCATTCAGTATTTTATGGCACACATTGGTTTCTAGATCATGTTTGTCTTCAGAAGTAGATTTCTGAACCTTGCTGACAAGAGATTTGATTGGAATCAACACAAATATTCTCTCTATAAATCAATGTTTATAGTAGAGCTAAGAATGTGAATGTATTTAAAAAGAAAATCTGTAATAGCATTGAAGCATGTAGGCTAACTTAGTACTGAAAAAAGAGTAAATCAGGAGAGAAGCCACCTTTCATATCTTTAAAGAAAAGGTATAATCTTTATCTTTTTATCATTTAAAGTCATTCACACAAGGAATGAGCACTCTGTATGCATTGTATTTGTTACATTAATTAAAAACAATAAGAATATTGTGCATGATTTTGTCATACTCAGAATCCTTAGCTTTGTTCCTTGATGTGTTGTCACCATAAGACGTCCTCTGCTGAGTCTCTTCTAGTATTTGGCAATGACTGAAAAGTCTGCTCTTTCTTGAGGTGGTCTCGCTTAACCGCTTCACTATCCCTGATGTTGTCTGGGCTGTTTCTGCACATGCTGCAGCCTCCACTGAATGTAAACTTCTGTCACTAGTTTGCTTTTCACTAGAGGTGGCAGCTCCGTAATCTGAAATCACTTCTTTCTCCCTCTGCTCATCACCCACAGGCTGCAACAACAAAAAAAGAAATATTACATGCTTCTGGTAAGCACATAGTTAAAACAAGGGCTGAATATATAGGTCCTCCACAGATACAAGAGACGGAGGCTGCCATAGGTGAGGTCCTCCTAAAGTAGTATGCCATTCCACCTTCCCCTGGCAGAATTACTGAGGGGAATCACAACTTGAATAATAAATCTACGACGGCTGGCAGCGAACAAAAGGTGTCACTATCTGAGAATCCTTTGGTTGGGCATATGAAATGACTTAACAGACTCATTGTTTCCCAAGGACATGAGCTCCTGTCCTAAAACATCAAGTGATGTTTAAGACATCTTAAGCAAGCCTATCTTATCTCACTCTTGCACAAGCCTAGAAACAAGATCAAGAGCCATGTTTCGCCTGAGGTTTGGTAACTGCCGGCTGAGAAGTTATTTCCAAAGACTCACCATTGTGAACTACCATCACAACAGATAAGATTCACTTCACCTAGCTTCAGCCTTCTAAAAGTCAGGTATCTAGGTGACACTAGGCACCCTCGTTATCCCTGCCACTGGTGAAGAGAAAAAGATTCATCTCTTCCTAAATTGTGCAAAGGGGAACCTAAATGACTGGTGTGTGTATCAGAGGCTTATCTTTAACTAGGAGACAAATCTTTAAAAGGAGACAAATCCCACTCTAAAGAGATGTCATCATATGGCAGTTAGTTTGAGATACTGGAGTTCATTCATTGTTTTAGTCATGTGTTGCTGAGAACCACTCAAGCTGCTGAAACCCAGGTACTCATTAGCTTATTACACACTTGAGTAGCTGAAAGCTCTCAGGACACACCCTCAGTACACATGCATACAAATTCCTTCACAGTGATGTCAGAGAACTAGTTAGTCCTTTCTTGGGACACAGATGGAAATGGAGGATTTGCAGATTAATTTTTTTAATTAACATATTCAGCAGAGGTTACTAGAAGAGCTGAACTGCATTTCTAGAAGTGGTCCCTCTGGGTCAAAAGACGATGCATTTTAACGTAAGAGTAGGTGAAAACCAAATATTTTAATTAACAAAACTATCAATGCAGTACTTCTCATGGCATCATATCTGCTATGGGACAAATGTTAGAGACAAAGAAGAAAACATTACAAAGCAAAAAAAAAAAAAAAAGTCACTTGCTTTATAAGCGACCATATATTAAAATAAACCTATCCAGCACCCTGACTGCATCCACAGGACAATACAGGCTCCCCTCTTTTGCGTACTTGTTTCACCACAACAAGTGATGAATAAAAAAGAATGAGGAAGGACCAACATGAACAACATGCTGTTAGAATACAATGGTTACTAAAAAATTAATTTGGATTTTTTCCTCATCAAATTGCCTCCCTACTTTCTGTCTTCAAGAACAGCAGATGGAGTCACCAAAAAAGCTAAATCAATTATTAACTGACAAGATGTCAAAGATTCACATTCCCACAGGACTCTCCTTCACAATCCGAACTGCAATACAGAGTAAAACTATACATTAAACTTCACACAGCTGTGCTGCAGAAATCAACACTTCACTGAAAGAGCTTTTTAAGTTGCTATGGTTCTGAGGAAATTAGCCCAGAGACCTTTTGGCCGCCTTTGTGGGTACATTTTATTACCTACTGTCATACTCGGTTAATATCACCAGCAAAAGATGGAATTAACTCACAGTCTTCCAATGGTTTATGCGATTGTGAGAAAGTACTCAGTGGCTGCACAGCTATACATGGCTGATCACTGTTTTGCAGCTCTAGTTTGTTCAAACACAACAGAGAGCAGAGAATCTGACCCCCATGTACAAGGGATGCCTACTACACTCTATAACATAACATATGCCTCCTATGTCTCATTCTCTTTTCCTATCATAGCCTAAACAGGAAGAGACTAGCACTGTTTTCCTTTCATGTTCCTCTCCGTATTTTCGCATTTTTGCTGTCGAATCCAAATGATCTATTCCAGATCACCTCTACATCACAGGATATAACACTGTGGAGAGAACAGCACAGGGTAAGAGAAGAAAACATCAGTTGTGCCTATACATACTGCCTTCTTCAGGGGAGGACATGAATATAAAACCATGAACATAATTTTTTTTCAGGAAGTCTCACATAGGCAGAACTAAACAAATTAAATGCATTTCTAAATATACACGTAAAAAATCCCCATAAGTAATCTTTCTAGTCTACAGGAAAGACATAGCTATAATTTCTTCAGTAATACTTGCAAAGCATGTGCATGCTACAGTGGTGAAAACCAGCAGAGAACAGTATACTATAATCTGGAGAAAAAACAGAACCAGAGGAGGTATAAACCTTTCTTGGAATTGGCTGGTATTTGCCCATGTGCTATGATGAAACAACAGCCTAGTATTTCCGAACTTTCCTTGGAGAGAAGATAGGACATAGAACATATACAGGTGGACAAGGCATTTTTGAAACTTGCACACCAATTCTAGATTTCCCTGTCAGGCACTGAATTAACTTTACTAGGATTTCCCATCCTGGTAAGCTCAGCCATTTTCATAAAATGTATATATCAACACAGGAGAACACTACTGGACTTCTAAAAAAAAAATAACTGAAATGTATTAAATATGTAAATCATTTATGCCAGTTTATTCTTTCCTAAGATTCAGTTCTCCAAGCAATTTGGCTATTCTATAAAATATTATAATTTTTCAAATATTAACTGAACTGGGTATATACTTGCTCATTTGTTGTCCTCTGCAAGTTAGATCCTGTTTTCAATTTCTTTCACCTGAATTGTAGCAAGTTGAGACTCAATTATGCTTGTTAGCTGTGTACAGTCATAATCTAACTGGGGAACACTGGGTTCTGAATTTAACTGCTCTCCCCTGGCGTTAGCTGTGTCTCATTTGGCACTACAGGAGTGACAGGTTGTACGACAGATTCTGACAAGGCATCCAGAGCTGTCACAAGCTGTACTGGCAGGACATCATTGCTCTCATCTGATGATGGATCAATGGAAAAGGCATGACCCTGACACTCTAACTTGTCAGGAAATGAGTTTATTATTTTAATGCTCTCAGAGTCACTGAGGTATTTCAACAAACCAATGATTTCAAATTCACCAGTCTCTATGCTCCATTCGGTGAATGCTTCCACAAAAACATTCCCTAGGGATGTCAGTAAAAAATCTGTATCATTATCTGGGGAATGTTCTCATATTCTATTATCTGAGTCAATGCGGGTTCTCTGGCAATTTTCTAAAACATGAGGAAATATATCTTGCGATATATATATTGCGGTGTCTTGGGAGCCTTTAATATATCCTCCAGAAGGGCATCTTAGACAGAGGTTTGTTTCTGGAAAGAGATCTTCATTACTTAATTTCTGTGAAAACGAAATATTAAAAAAAAAAATTGTTCTCAAAAAGGAACAATTCTTTCTAAAAGGCATGTAATTAACATTCACTTCAGAAATCATCCCTATATACACACGTATTTTATTTGCAATTTTTGCATAAAATACAAGAGTCAAAGCCTTCCCTGAGAAGTCATACAATTTCTTAAAAAGGGTTAAATTGAGGTCTCAGTTTCAAAAGCAGAGCACTTCAGTTGTTGACTTCCCTAGCAGTGAAAATCCACAAGAGAGACTAAGTCTATTTTAAGTGACTACATCAGTGGACAAGAGAAGAGCAATGGATGTCATCTACCTGGAGTTCTCTAAAGCCTTTGGCACAGTCCTCCACAACATCCTTCGAAGTTGAAGAGATATGGATATGATGGGTAGATTCTTGGGAGGATACCAAATTGGTTGAACGGTCACACCCAGAGGGCAGTGGTCAACAGCTTGATGCCCAGATGGAGATGGGTGTCAAGTGGTGTCCTCCAGGGGTCTGTACTAGAACCAGCATTGCTTAATACCTTCATCAGTGACACAGACAGTGGGATCAAGTGCACCCTCAGCAAGTTTGCAGGTGACATCTAGCTCAGTGGTGCAGTTGATATGCCAGAGAGATGGGATGTCCTCCAGTGAGACCTGGACAATCTGGAGAAGTGGGCCCATGTGAACCTCGTGAGGTTCAAGATGGCTAAGTGCAAGGTTCTGTATCTGGGTCAGGGCAATCCTTGGGGGACAATGCGATAGACAGCAGCCCTGCAGAAAAGGAATCAGAGGTACTGGTGGATGAAAAGCTGGACATGAGCCAGCAATGCATGTTCGCAATCCAGAAAGACAATGGCATCCTGGGCTGCATTAAAAGAAGCGTGGCCAGCAAGCTGAGAGAAGTGATTCTGCCCATCTGCTCTGCTCTCGTAAGATCCCACCTGCAGAACTTCATCCAGCTCTGGAGCCTCCAAAATATGAAGGACATGGACCAGCTGGAGCAGGTCCAGAGGAGGGCCACAAAAATGGCTGGAGCACCTCTCCTACAAGGGCAGGCTGAGAGAGTTGGGGTTGTTCAGCCTGGAGAAGAGAAGACTCAGGGAGACATTATCACAGCCTTTCAATACTTAAGGGGAACCTCTAAGAAAGACGAGGGCAATTTTTCTTTTAGAGCCAGTAGTGATAGGACAAGGGGTAATGGTTTTAAACTGAAAGAGAGTAGACTCAAACTAGATATAAGGAAGAAAGTTGTTACAGTGAGGCTGGTGAAACACTGGCACAGGTTGTTGAGAGGGATGGTTGGAGGCCCCATCCCCGGTCACTGTAGGCAAGGCTTTGAGCAAACTGATCCTGTTAAAGATGTCCCTGCTCACCGCAGGAGGTTCGGATTAGATGACTATGGAAAGTCCTTTCCAAGCAACACGTTCTATGATTCTCTAAAGTCAAAGATATTATGCCATTGCCCAATGGCCTAAGAATGTTAAAGGGCTTTAGAAACAAAGACAATAAAATTTCTGTTACCCAGAAATATTGAAACTGAACAAATTCAACATAACATAAAAAATATAGTTGATAAAACATAAAACATTAATTTTGATTATATATTTATGTGGATCCCACAGAGGTCTGGAGTATTTGTGTCTCTCAAATTTCAGTTCAAAACTTTAGTGTTTGGAGGCTGCATATTTCAGTTACCATACTGAATAAAGAAGCATAAAACTGTAATTGTTCTTGGAAAAGTAATAATGCTACTGTTTTTGCAATCACTTTGAGCTACTTTCTATACATGCACTCATTCTCATACTAACTAATAGCTTTTAATTTTGTTTTTCCTAACCCTCTTTCAAATGCTTCTGCAGGAGAAAATCAGATGCCTTAGCTAGCCTAAATAATATTTTTTCTATATAGTATTTGTATATAATAGTGCTGTTATTTAATAATACTGTATATAAGGAAAATCTGTTTCAGTACATTTCTAGAATCTTGCTGCCAGCAAGTGGCAGTACTGGGCAGTGCAAGAATCCTTTAATCAGTGATAATATAATTTTGATAAAGCTCACACACACTTAAAGCAAGGGCAGAAATCTGACAGCATTGACTCACGTTCAGTTTGTAAGCCGTTAAAAATCCTGACTTTTTTTGAAAAATTATTCCCCAGTTTGCTGTTTCCTATCTTACACCTGTGCAGCTAATTGTTCCTTTACAAGAAATGACTACTACTTACTTCTCTGTACAGTTGCTTTTTAGACCAATTCTCTGATTTGTGCAGACTTTAAACAACGGTGAAAAAAACCCTCACTGGCATTAATTTCCCTTCTTAAAGAACTGTTGTATAAACAACATATATGTCTATTACAAATTTCATAAGAAAAAGGCTTCGTGCATTTGTTAAAGGGCAGGTGAAATTTACATTTATATTAATGAAGAAGGATCAGGAAGGCATAAATGACTAATTTTGCAGAAAACCCAAATGTCAACTGAAATCCAAACATAAATGTGACCTGTGATCACAAAACTCCCATTCAACCACAGGTGCCTAAATTTTTTCAGCACTCACTTCTGTCGTCAAAATCCTGTGGGACTTGCTCTACAAGTAACTAAAATCCACAGAACATAACGGAAGTCAAAACTTTTCCTTCCAAAAACCCATTCTCAGCTGCCACTTATCCATAAAGACACTGAAAGCCCCAGTATCTAACACCTCTGTACCTGCAATTGTCTGTTGGACAGAACAGAGCAGCTGCTGAAGAAGCAAGGCTGAGACATCTGGGAACTGAACCAAAACAGAGGTCTTCTCCTGTGGACCCCAGTCCGACAAATATGGCCTGAACACACAAAGTTTCACTCAGAGGAAGAGCAGAATTCCCCCTCAGCCAGAAGCTCAGCAGTAAAATAGCAACATTGTGGCAAATGCAGGTTCAGGTCCATCTACCAGAGGAGCTATGCTTCAAGCAACTCATTTAAAAAAGCGGTTCCTGTGTAAGAATGCCAAAGGCAAAAAGGTGTCTCTTTGGTATAAACCTGTTATTCTTTTTAGAGTCTGAATGCCAACCAGCTTATTGCATCTGTGAATCTTGTCCACCAAGCATGAGCACGCTACTTTGAAAGCCTTGGTTTAAATCCCACTATCCTCATGTCTCAATTATTCCCAGCACAAACCCAAACCAGCGTTCCTTAATCCAGTCACAAATCTTGCTTACCTTCTAACACCAGCCCGGAATCTTGTCTCCTCACTTTCCCAGTAAGCACACACTGGGTACCAGCTGAGCATGGCCAGAGTCAACTCCAGTGTCAGCTGATTCAGAACCTTGCACCAGAGGAAGCAGGTAGACAGAGAAGTCAAGCGGAAGTTTCATTTAAAAAAACCCAATTTACTTAACTGTGGGTATAAAAACTGTGTGTCGATAAATTCACTGCACCACAGGCCAGTGAGCAATCCAGGATTAGCCAAATCCAAGTCTCCCCCTGTGCACTACATATGCAAAATTAAATTTGGCCTGTGAGTTCCAGTAGATGGCAATGTGTTCACATCATCTTCGTGAATCCTGACACAGAAGGATCTTTCTTCCATGTCTTTGAGAACAATTTAGAAAGTTATTGATAACTTGGTGGCTATTTGGTGTTACAGACTGTGGATTGCAAATGTAAGAAGATAAAACTGGACTAATACTGAAGCACAAATAGTAAGGGTGGAGTGAAAATGTGAGTCTTAAGATACTCCTTTATCTGCTAGCTCTGAGTCAAACAACAGCAGAGAAGTTCAGTCTTTCAACACATACATGTAAGAGATTCATTATAAAAGAATTAAGGCTTCAGAAGGACCAACATTACCAGCTTTTCTGAGAATGCTGAGCTGAAGCTTACTGCAATACACTGTGAGGGATACAGAAAAAGTCACAGAACTCCGGAGGCTGGAAGGCAAATCTTGAGTTTAGCCTTGTGGCTCAACCAGCATCAGCCGCAGCAGGCTGCCCAGGATCACATCTAGACATGTTCTGCGTATCTTTCACAGATGGTGAATGCACAACCTCTCTGGGCAACCTGGTCCAGTGCCTGACCTCCTTCACAGTTAAAAAGTGGTTTTTTGGACTCAGACGGGTTTTCTTTCTTTTTAATTTGTGTCCACTGTGTCTTGTCCTACTGACTGGCATTACTGAGAAGTCTTGCTCCCTCATCTTCATTCATCCCTGTCAGGTGTTCTTACACCTTTGCAAGATCCTCCTGAGACTTCTTCAAGTTGAACAGTCTTAACTCATATTAAATACCATAAAAACACAGGACAGTTTGAGTTGCAGAGACCTTTACATGTTATCTAGTCCAACCACCCCTCACATCTGGCCTTGTTCATAAGGTTCACAGTGGCCTACTTCTCCAGTTTGTCCAGGTCCCTCTCAGGTGTGTCAACTGCACCACTCAGCTTGGTGTCATCTGCAAACTTACTACGGGTGCACTCAATTGCCCTGTCTTTGTCAATGATGAAAGCATTAAACAATACTGGTTCTAGTACAGACCCCGGGAGGACACCACTTATCACAGATCTTCATCTGGACAGTAAGCCATTGCCCACTACCCCTTGGCTGTGACCATTCAACTGACTCCTCACCCACCAAACAGTCCACCCATCAAGTCTGTATTTGTCCAATTTAGACAAAAAGATGTGGTAGAGGGTGATGCCAAAGGCTTTACAAAGGTCAGGTGCACCACTTTAGTCATCCTTGTTTCTCTCTGCTGGACTCACTCCAGTTTGTCTGTGTCTTTCCTGTACTGAAGACCCAGAACTGGACACAGTATTCTAGACATGGCATTAACAGTTCTGAGGATCACCTTCCTTGACTTGCTTGCAACACTTTTACTAATGCATCCCAGGGTATTGTTTGCCTTCTTTGCCGGAAGAGTGTGAGGATGGCTCGTGGCCCAGGACCTCCAGTTCCCTCTCTGCAGAGCTACTTTCCAGCCAGTTGGTACCCAGCATGTACTGGTGCCTAAGGTTATTCCTCCCCAGATGCAAGACTTTGCATTTCCCGTTCGCAAACTTCATGAGGTTCCTCTCTGCCCAGCTCTCCAACCTGCTCAAGTCCCTCTGAATGGCAGAACATTTCGTTTATCAGTCGCTCCTCCCAGCACCACCTCTGAACTTGCTGGGGGTCCATTTTGTTCCATTTTTCAGACCAGTAATGAAGAAGCTGAACGGTACTGGACCCACTATAGTCAGACTAATCACAACAGAAATCACAGCTGCTAGCTACATCATCAAAATCAAGAAAATCCAGCAAGACTCATTTTATGCTGTCAGAACTTACGTTAATTAATGAATTTAGAATCACAGAATCATGGAATCATAGAATCACAGAATAGTTTTGGTTGGAAGAGACCTTCAAGATCATGGAGTCCAACCTTTGTCCTAGCCCTATCAAGACCACTAAAGCAGGTCCCTCCCACCTGTCTCTGAAAAATCTCCAGGGATGTGACTCAACCATCTCCCTGGGCAGCTTGTTCCAATGCCTGACAACCCTTTCAGTACAGAAATTCTTCCTAATATCTAACCTGAACCTCCTCTGGCTCAATGTGGCTTCCCTTCCCCTTGTCCTATCACTCTCCACTAGGAACAGACCAACTCCTGCCTTGATACAACCTCCTCTCAAGTAGTTGTAGAGAGCAATAAGGTCTCCTCTCAGTCTCCTCCAGGCTAAACAGCCCCAGACCCCTCAGCAGTTCCTCATAGGACATATGTTCCAAATCCTTTACCAGCTTGGCAGCCGCCTTTGCACCCTCTCCTTCCCCTTGTCCTATCACTCTCCACTAGGAACAGACCAACTCCTGCCTTGATACAACCTCCTCTCAAGTAGTTGTAGAGAGCAATAAGGTCTCCTCTCAGTCTCCTCCAGGCTAAACAGCCCCAGACCCCTCAGCAGTTCCTCATAGGACATATGTTCCAAATCCTTTACCAGCTTGGCAGCCGCCTTTGCACCCTCTCCATGTAGTGAGGGGCCCAAAACTGGACACAGTACTCGAGGTGGGGCCTCACCAAAGCTGAGTACAGGGGCATGATCACCTCCCTGCTCCTGCTGACAACACCATTCCTGACACAGGCCAGGATGTCTTCTTGGCCACCTGGGCACACTGCTT